TACTTTAGAGTTTTGCCAGTAAAAGATTAGTAGTTCTCAAAGTATGGGCCCAAAAGTAGCAGATCTATCACTTTGCAACAATGTGGAAAATTCAAATTCTGTGGGCTTTATCTACACCAGTGATGGTAAACCTTTCAGAGTTTTCAATGAAAACAAACAGCCCCCCGCAGCACACATGCCACAGGTTCACCATTACTGTCTATACCTGCTGAATTAGAAATCTGGGAGGCTGCATCCAACAGTCTGTCTACTAAATACACTTTAACATTTTTCATGGGTGCATAGTAGTTGTGCAAACATATGGGATGTTACATGAAATTTCAATAAAATTATAACGTATTGGGAATTAGTCAACTTTCTTTTACTGTCACAAACTACCTGAGATAGTCAACTCCTAAAGAGGATGGATTTTGGTTAGGTCAGCTTTGAAGCTTCTAGCCATGACTGCTGGCCCTGGTGCCCTTCAGGCCTGTGGTAAGCAGCACATCACGGCAGGGCATGTGGGGGCAGGAAGCTGCTCGCCTCATGGCAGCCGAGAAACAAAGCAGAAGAGGCAGGGGCAGGTCAGCGAGCAGAAGACTCCCACTGGGCCCCGCCTCTAAGAGTTTCATGACCTTTCCATAGTGTCAACCTGGGGAATCAGCCATTAACACATGAAACTCTGAGGGACGCTTCACATCCAAAGTCCAGCAGGAAAAGCCAAAATCCTCTCCACTAGCTATTTTGATCTATTTAATGTCCACCTTCCTGTGCTACAGTAGCAATCTGTTTTAATAACCCTTCCAGATGAATCTGACACATGTTAATGTTTGAGAGGCAACGATCTACATCAGTGTTTTCAATCTTGGCTAAACATTAGAATTATGTAAGAAGTGTTGGCGAGGACACGTAAATGAATGAAGTCAGAATTTCAGCGCTTTAGCCAAGGAATCAGTATGGTCCTCTCGTGATCCATAAGTCAAGCCAAGGCTGAGAACCACTGCTCTCAACTGGAATAATGGTTCTGAAACCTTGCTTCACAGTAGAATTACATGTGCAGCTTTGAAAAACATACTGATGTTGAAGATCTCACCTAAAGATTTATAATGATCCGGGGTAAAGTGAAAGGTCTCATTTTATATGAGCTTCTCAGCTGATTCTGATACCTATCTACTATTGCAAATCATGGTTCCAAAAATGCCATTTTCCCCACAAGTCATTTGAAGAGAATATGGCTTGGGGGTGGTGGAACAAATACATTTTCTTCTTTTTAAAAAAAATTTTTTAAACAAATACATTTTCATTCCTCATCTATTTACTCAGGCCTTGCAGTGTATTACGCTAGTTACTACTAGATTAAAAATTAAGTATAAACCATGCTTCCTGCCCAGAGAGAATATATAAGTGGAAGAGACCGCAACACATTTATACATAAATAATGACATATGAAAACACATTTCAACATATAATATTGAAATTCAATACTGACTATAATTTAGTGTAACAAGTTAGGCATATCATATCACTCTTAAGACTCCTTTTTATTCTTTTTAACAGTAAGGAGGAGGAAATATGTGGTGGAAAAACAACTTTGAATGCAACTAGTAATCAGCATCTACCTGGAAAAGGTAGGGGAAAAGCCAGTGGTTCCTTCAAATAGTAATCTCAGAATTTAAGCACTGAACAAACCTGAAGCGATTAAGAGTCCCTCCTGGGGAACAACAAGGAGACAATCAGCCACGAAATCACTGGTGGCCACAATAGTGTCTGTTAAGTTACTTTACAACTACTAGCAAAATTAGCAATTTAGAGATCAGTAATAGAAGAATTTATAATAAATCTCTTTTCCCTTTTATTTTTGCAAATATAATCCTTGGACTATTTGCCCCTCCTTCTAGATCAGCTTCTTCTAGACATTTTTAAAGTAATGAAAAATACTGTCTTAGTCTTGGATGAATTACTAGCTATAGAATTTTTCAAGATACTGGACCTCTGAATAAATTTATATTTAAATAAATAATCAAATAAAATTCAAAATTTCTCATGTGTATTAAACCAAAAAATGCATAACAACTAAAATTGGGTTTAACATGCTGCAAAAGCTTAAGGTTAGCAGTGTTTTGATAACTCAGCTAAATACACTGTACACATTCCTTCATATTATTACCAGTTACAAAGGCAAAACTATCACATATTCCTTTAATACTATAAAAGGGTTTCACCTGTACTCCTGGCACTCCAGTTATCTGGAGGATTGCATGTTCAAGTTTGAACCGCCTGGACAATTCAGTGAGTTAGTGAGACACTGTCTCAAAAAATAAAAATAAAAAGGGCTGAGCATGTAGCTCAGAATAAAGGCTCTGGGTACAATCCTGAGTACCGGGGGTGCAGAATATGTTCAGAAAAATCACAAATGTTCATTTATTTCATCTATCCTGTTCCATCAGAAAATACTTTGAGGTTAGAATAGGGTAAAGCACTTTAAATAATGCCAATTGAGATACAGAATAGATGTAAGTGCATCCACATTTACCACAGTAATGTTTTCATAACCGAAAATGAATAGGCGATGAATTTTAAGCTGTTTTTTAATAAGGGTGGTGGATTGCATGAGCCAATCACATACTTCACTTGTTTCCATCATGTATCCACTGTGTGGTAGGTGACAGGACCTATATGTGTGCCCAAGAAACAGAACAAGGTCTACTTACTTGTTTCAGCAGGTTTTGAATATATCATTTTAAACAGAATTAACCTTCAAAACAGTCATAAGAAAAAAAGATAGAAATTATTTTTCCAGCTTACTAGATGGAAAGACTGAGGTTAAATTATGTCATGACATAGGGTAAGAAAGGATTGCATGATGATTATCAGCGGGGATAGGAAGATGACGTATGGCTCATACATTTCCTTGTCTTCTTTCTTTAAGTGACCTACTATGTACACAGACTGAGTTGAGAATTACCTCTGTGTAGAAGCTACAATTACTGATATAAGCATGTCACATTACTTCCAATGTGTTAGGACATTTAATACTGTTGATACTCAATGCTATAATAGAAACAAAGAAAATCAACACAAGAACCCAAGGTTCTGCCCCCCCCCCTTTTTTTAATCTAATGGAATACAGTTTTAAGAGCCCCAGCAATATATGTGCATTATGTTTTTTTTTTTTTTTTTTTTTTTTTCAGAACCAGGGACTGAACTCAGGCCCTTGCACTTGCCAGGCAAGCACTTATTCTACTGAGCCATCTCCCTGGCCCTGTGCATCATGTTTATAGCAGCACAATTTGCAACTAAATCTTAAGAAACAACTAAATGCCCATCAACTGAGGATAGGATAAAAAAAGATGTGGTACTTTTATACAATGGAGTATTACTCACCTAAAAAGAAAGATAGAATCAAGGCTTTTATATGTAAATGCACGTAACTAGAGAAGTTAGACCTGCATGTGTAAACATCATATTGTCTCCTTCATGTAAGAAACTGAAAGAGTAGAATTTGAAAGATACAACAGACATTATGAAAGGTAAAGAAACTGTCAATCTTTTCTGGAGGGCTAGCAACTTAAGTTTGCAGACCAAAAATTAGAGAAAAAGAAGGGCTGCAAGGACAGCCAACATTTTGGCCCTAGCCTTTCAAGGTCAGTGAGGACTCAGGACATAAGAGAACCTGTACTGTAACATCCTGTAACTCAGGGATGTCCCAAATTTTCTGATCAAGGAGATTATGGGGCCACAGAGGACAGTGATCGATGATGTAGAGTGTGCCTAAGGAGAGTCACCTCAAGCAATGCCTGTGATTCATCCACATGGCTGACACTGACAAAGGATCTACAAACTGTGGTACAGAGTTTCAGGGTAAATCCTGAGGGGATTTGACTGATTTGTCAGATACAAAAGTTACATTTCTTATATAGGTCTTGCTTTATCTTGGTCTTAGCCATCCAGCAGAAAAGTATAAAAATGAGGTATAAAAAGTAAAGCCATATTAATATGCTGAGCTGTAAAACACCCAAGTCAACAACTTCTGACATTGCCGGTCCTATGGATAACCTACTACTATTATGGACTACTGGACTATATTGGATTATTTTGCTGAATTCATTCACTCACAATATTTAAATGGCAATGGAATACCCATCTCTGACAAAACTAAACAGAAAAAGGGGATATAAATGAAGGACCATTTTGTATCTGTATATACAAAGTAGTCAGGATAGATATACAGCTACTTTCTTTTAATTCCATGAGAAGAAAGATTTGTACTAATAGTATTTGGACAGGATATCATGTCTGAATCTTATACTATGAATAACCACTATGAAGACAACAATATGCAATATATTAATTATTGAAACTATCTTACTAATCGATTTTGAAACTGTCTCATTGCTATTTGTTTCTCAATAAAATTAATAAAAAAAAAGAAACTGCTCAAAATCAAAGAACAATGGATGGGGGAAAGGAGAAAAGTGAGGGGGGAATATATATATTTATATATACATATACACACACAATAGTAAGATAATTGTACTACTAATTTCTATCGGTTTATTGAAAGGAAAAGGTAATGCCTTAATTGTTTGATCAATTTTGTATAACTATACCTGGTAATCTGAATAACTACTTGAAGATAACCATACGCAATATAACAACCATTTTTAATTTCCTGTCATCTTGTTTTGAAATTCTGTATCTTCTTATTGTTTTTTTAAATTCTCATTAAAATAAAAAATGATCTGATTCTTTAAAAGGGAGGCATGAGGTATGACTGAATTATAGCAATTACGTTACAGTGAACCCTCGATGGCTTTTATATTGCTTTTAATACTTTGTGGAATAATTCCCCTCATTCTTCAAAAAAGGGCAACATCCAAATGGAGTATGGAAGTGCTTGTTTTATCCAGATAAGTGGTTAAAACAGCATCATCCTCAGAGGAGGGATATCTGGCCATTTCAAACAGACATCAATTCTAGTTAAGCATTAAAGAAGAGATTTGTAAGCAGCTGCTACATACCTGTTCTAGATGAGTTTCCCCCCTTTTTTTATTGTGAAGTTGAAGATAAGAGTCTGTTTTAGGAGTTGGTAATCCCAGTGTAAGCTTATTTTTTTCCACAAAATACTGCTTAGACTTCCTTCTCCGAGGGCCACGTGACCCTGGGAGGAACACCTCGTTATGTGAACTTGAACTCTTCAGGTACTGAGAGAGGTTGCTTGACTTCTCCTCCCGGTCACTGTCACTCAGCTCTGAAAATGGCTCGCTGACCTGGGCTCCAGGCTCATAGTTTGGGCTTAAAAATTCACTTCCCATTAAGGAGGCTGCACTGTGAGGACTCTTCTTCTGTTTGTTGTTTACCTCTGAGAGCTCCAGTGAATTCTCCTTGGACGGGTAGAGTGGTGCCAAAGGCAGATTTTCTGAAGAGCTGTCTGCAGACCCCGGCAGGGTTTCCACAACCAACAACTGCACTTCTTCTTTTTTATTTTTCCAGTTCGGATCATATCGGAGGTCTGAATATTTGTCTTTTTTAGGTTGCTGACTGGCCAAAGCAGAAATGAAATGGCAAGTCCTTAATCAAAATAAATTCACTCACTGTATTCAATTGGTCATTCACAACCAATCACACTCTCCTCTCATTTCTCTTTTACTATCTATACATTAAAGATATGCTTGGAGCTCATATTAGTTCCACACACTATACACAAATACAACAAGGTCTTAGTTATCTAAGTTCATTAAGATATTGAATAAAAATGGAGGACAGTTAAATTCTAAATGCCAGAAAACAAAAAGTACACATCTACCACATTATATCAACGAATCACAGAGCTCCAAAGAATGCTGTTAGTTATGCCACAAACAACAATCCAGTATTTCAGCTGGCAAAGAAAATTGTGCTTCCCACTTTAGCTGGTACTATGCACATTTGGCATATCTAGGAAGGGAAATATGGATCGTTGCCTAGACAACATTTGTCTTAGCTTGTTCCTTTCGGGACGAGAGCCAGGTTTTATTATAGCTGAATACATGTTTAGGTTCATCCTTCTTTTTAGTAATTTTGCTTTTTACTTCATTTCTGTCTTTGTAGATTTTATCAAATGTCCTACAGAAAGACTTCCAAGGCTTAGAACCAGACTTGCTCACTAAAGGTTCACCATCCCTTGGTCATTAGATTTATACACACAAAATTCAGTAAACACGTAAGCGCGCACTTGACATTGTAGGAGGGCCCTGTGTGAATAAAACGCTAAGCCTATCATTCTGCCCCAGGAAAGTGAACTAGTACATAATCCATGTGTATGACCCCAGATAAAGTCCTCCCTTTCCTCCATGGCAAAAAAGGGGAAAAAAATGCTGATAATATGGTATGTTTAATGGCCTCTTTGATCTTCAAAAGCTAAATGGGAGAGATTTTCCTTCCTTGAGTACAGTGGATGCAATCCTCTAATCAAAAAGAAAATGTAAATCACCCAGGTCTTTTATGTTATCTGATATTCTCATTTATAGAGGATATAATTTTATGCTTGGTAAACAAACTAATGGTCCTCCCTAATACTAATTTAGTTTTCTTAATGTGGACCTAGAGGTTTGTTTTTTTTTTTTATTGATGTAAAGAAAAACAAAACAAAACAAAACAAAAAATCCCTGGAGAAAACCCCTAAACTCCCATGCCTTGATAAACTGTCATACTTTTAAGTTTTTTAGTTTGCATATTAAGGTAGAAAACTCTTTTGAAATCGTGTGCCATTCCTTTCCCAACAAGAGACGAGATGTGATCTCTTCTAGGAAAATGCCTGAATGTGAACGATCTACTCACTGGGAAATGGGATGACAAATGTGGCCTGCAGTGCCCGAGTGCTGCAGGCTGGCCCGCCCCTGGACTCAGGTGAGGCGGCTTCTCCTAGGTGCTATCTCTCCCCATGAACTAAGAGCATCTCTCGGCCTGGCCTTTCGCCTGGCTTTTAAGGGGCACTGGACATGTACACTGGACATGGTGTTGCCTGGTAGGGCCCACTCTAGGCTTGGACTGGACACAGCTGGGCTCAGGTTCTCAGGCTGCGTTACTGTGTGTGCTAGTTGGCAAATGATGTAATCTCTGAGCCAGTTTCTCTCATGGGCAAAGAGGGATACACTGTATGTGATTTAGCTATTTCTCACGGCCGCATAACACTGGGGATCAAGGTGAGGCAGTGGATCTTACAGTGCTCTGTGTGCACGCTTATTTCCCTTCTCCTGAGGGTACTGTCTGTTTACCTGGGTAAAGTCATGGGTAGCAGGAACTGGATTATCTTTTTCCCTGATCCTTGCCCTATACACCGCATCACAGCCTGGTCCTAAAGGGTAAATGCTTCAAGACTAAATACATGCATCTTTAAAAGTAGTCAACCAAAAAAATCATTACATGCTTTTATTTTTAAACCAATAGTAATAAATTAAAGTCTAAACATGCTGGAGTTTTTGGCATTCGACCAAATCAGCGAATAATTTTTGGGTTTGTCTTACACAAAGTGACATACTCAGTTGTGGTTGTTCAAGTGGACAAGAGAACCCAATTATTATCTTAAAGTAAACATTTTAATAAAGAAATGTGTTTTCCCATATCCATTCAGTATACTGAAAGGAAAAAGTGAACTTTATTCTTCACTCGTTAGTTTCCTCACTGATTTGATAAAACTACTGAGAACTTAGTGATCCCAGGAACACAGTGGCGAATGGCACAGAGTTGGGCCCACAGCCCGGCGGGAATCAGACAGGGAAATGAGCAATACACAGTTTGGAGTGGCGCCTGCCCTGAGGAAGGGCCCCGGCCGCTGGACTCAGGAGGGATGTCTGCCCCTAGCTTGCAAAGTTGAAGAGAGCTTTGTGTAGCAAACAATGCAGTGCTCAGATGTGGGCTAAAGATGCACATGCCAGACCAAGGTGATAGCTCGGAGAGAGGAGCGGAAGGCAGGCAGGATGTGGCACTCTCTAAGAACCAATTCTTTATGGATAAATTGGAGTGTTGGGTGGGGCGGGTAGGCTGAGGAACAGGGATCAAAGCTAAGCAGAGGTCAGATTTTTTTCCCACTAGTTGGAATTGAACCAGGGCCTTCACACTGAGCTACAGCCCTACCCCTTTTCTTTCTTTATACTATTAATTTTTGTTTTGAGATACAGTGTCTCACTAAGCCACTAAATTGCCCAAGCTTGGCTTAAACTTGCAGTCTTCCTGCCTCAGCCTACAAAAGTCCTGGGATTATAGGTGTGTACCATGGAGTCTGGATCAGAGGTCAGACCTTGCCAGAGATACAGCTCAGTGGCACAGCATCTGCATGGCAAGTGTGAGGTCATGAGTTCGATTCCCAGTAGCAAACAACAACAAAAAAAGCATAGGTCAGATCTTGAGTGACTTCATAAGTTCTATGAATTAATTTGTACTATGTAAATTAATCCAGGGGGTTAACTAGTAAGGGAAGATTTAGTAAGTATTTCTGGACAAAGTGATACATTTCTGGAAGGGCTAATCTATATAGGCTATAAAGTCTTTGGGGCAAAATTTAGAACAAGCAATTCTTCATTTACACTGCTCAGAGTGGGGCTGGCCACCTTCTATGGTGCCAACCCTGGAACATACTGTTCTGCCTCTGTTAGGGGTGGAATGTGGAGAGACAGCATGTATCACTCTATGTCGACCTAAGGAAGACTTGTAGTGAATCTTCTCTTTACTCCTTAGAACAACTTTGAGGGAAGTACTGTTCTATTACTATCTCCATTTAACAGATGAGCAAACTGAAGTTCAGAGAGCTTAGCAAAGTTTTCCAAGGTCACAGAACTACTAGTGTAGAGCCAGGATATAAGCCCTGGCAGTTTGCTTTGCAAACTGGCTGGGTACGTTCCACTGTACTATACAGGTGTTCCCTTTGGAGGTCACACAGAAAGCTTGTCGCAGCATCTGCCTTTGGTTGGTCAGTGCACAGACAGGTGCTGGGTACCTCCCTTTGTACTAGCAGAATACGAGGCATAGGAGATACAGTGGTGAGCAAGACAATCACACTGCTGGATCTTTCCCTCCAGTGAGAAGGACATGCTTTCTGCACTGTCATGACTAGTTAGTGAAACAGATGTGTAAAAGAAGTACAAGCTGTTATGAGTATTTAAAATAGTAGGATAGGGCTGGGGTTATAGCTCAATGGCAGAGCACTTGTTCAGCATGCAGCATGTCCCAAGTTCAAGCAACAGCACTGCAGAAATGAGTGAAGCAAAACACAGGACATAACCTTGTTTACCACTGAAAAATATTTTAACTTCTTGTCTTCAGATTCAATTGTTAGATGCTAACTCACAGTCCATTCCAACTCCATTCCAATTCTATGACCCTGTAACAAGACTCATAAAAGGATCAACAATTGAGTATTGCTCAAAAAAGATAGAAGTATTGCCTTTTAAATATGTAATGGCAATACTTCTGATGTGAAATGTCTCCCAAGAAACATGTACTGAAGGCTTGATTCCCAGCCTCTAGCACTACTGGGAGGTAGCCGAGCCTTCAGGGGCAGTGGAAAGAAGTTAGTGGGCTGGGGACATGTACTCGAAGGGAATGCTTGGCTGCTCGCTCCTGTTCCTGTCTCCCACATGCCATAGGGGAGCAGACTTCTATCTTGTGCTGCCACCATGATACGCTGTGCTGCCACAGTCCCAAAGCAAGAGGGACAAGTGACCATGAGCTGAAACCCTGAAACTGTAAGCAAGCCAAAAAATATTTTTCTTCCTTTGAAGTTGTTTATCTCAAGTACTTAGACACCGTAGTGGAAAGCTGAATAAAAAGTAGTGTTCGATGACAGGGAGAAGTGGATTCCCTGTTTCCATCTCTTCAGTTATACTACTGAAGTTGGTGCACCTAGACTGGTCACTGACTTAATCAGTATCAACCAATAATGGCCTAACATGTACACTCCAAGTTATAGACTTTCTTTAGTCACATGTAACACTTGTGGGCTCTGTTTCTCTGCATTGTGATGTAAAGGACTGTGGTCCCGAGCAGAGTGTTTAAGGACAAGGGCCCAATAAGTAGGATGCCTGCATGCAATATACGGTGCTACCAGTTACTAGGTAAATGTGCAAAAGCCATTTAACTTTGGTGCCTACCTGAGTACAGACTTAGTGAGAGCTACTGGTGCAAGTGTGTATCAAAGGGCCCTGTCCCTGGCCTTTACTTGCTATGCGTTTGCTCAGTCACCATGATGTAACATTGCTGTGCTTCCCGCTGATGGAGTCAAGGGAGTCTTCAATCCCTCGGGCTTAAGTTATTTCCAGGGCACAGAGCTGTCCTGTGATGCTCTGAGTGGTACCCAAGAGACCTGAAAGATTTAACATATATAAAAAAGTTTTCAGGCATGACTTGGGAACTACAGAGGATGTAAGAATCATAATTTAGGAAATGGGATTGAGTTATGTCAATGTTTTCACACAATGGAATATTTTAACAACTAGTAAAAGATACTGAGGAAGATAAAAGTGAGAGAATTAAATGACTTTAGACCTATAAAGGCCTTAGCCTCT